ACAGTTTTTTTCAGTACCCCTCTATTTACATGCATATTTACAGTTTTTTTCAGTACCCCTCTATTTACATGCATATTTACAGTTTTTTTCAGTACCCCTCTATTTACATGCATATTTACAGTTTTTTTCAGTACCCCTCTATTTACATACACATTTACAGTTTTTTCAGTACCCCTCTATTTACATACATATTTACAGTTTTTTTCAGTACCCTCTATTTACATACATATTTACAGTTTTTTTCAGTACCCCTCTATTTACATACACATTTACAGTTTTTTTCAGTACCCCTCTATTTACACTCTATCACAAATTGTCACTAAATTTGCAATACAGAGTAAAATGAATAGTTGATAACACCGACATCAAATACATGATCTTATGTTGAATAGCACTCTGTAAAAAGTCGTGGCATGCACACTTTGATCCCCTCACATTCATATAGGACTAACTGGGCCTAATTATCACAATCATCAAGCTATGTTTTAACTCTTTCCCAAATGTACGACAATACTGTTCAGAAGTTTGGTCAAGAGCAGAAAGTACTATGAAAAATTTTATGAAGAGTTAATAGAACTATTTTACAAGAATAAACTTCACTATTATTGAATATGATTTTTATTTTGAGTAAATAAATATTGTGTTTTCAATGTATTACAAATAAATTTGTACTCCTTTTCTTTTGTTTTTATTGGTGTAATTGGGAAATTATCATATTTTTAATTAGTCTGAACACTAAAATTACACAACTTTGTAATTTTAAGAGAGGAAATTAAAAAGAAAATGTCTTTTCTAAATATCAGAATTTAAAGATAATTTTTCAAACTCCTTACTGTAAAAATATTTCTTTCTCAAAGATATATATATAAATTAAGTTTATAAAAATTATTATTATTATTTTTTAAATAAAACAGATTAACCTACCATATTAGATAATGATAATAAAGCCAATTTTTTTACCCCATTAAATACTTAATATAAGCTGACAGGAAAAAATAATTTCAAATTCCTATAAGTTTGATACCTAGATATTCAATTAAATAAACTTCAATACACAAGGAAGCACAACAGTAAGATAGTCAAAAAAGAGTTTATTAATCTTTTTTTTTTCCGATAATTTGATGTGTTACTCCTTTTGACAGCATTCATTCACAACTAAAAATTTCTTTTGTTGAAATGTGTAAAAATTAATCCCAAAAAGTCGAAATCATGTTTTAAATTTACATAATTTTTTCATTCTAATAAGCATTTTTTTTTCTATCTAGCTGACACACACACTATTTATCAAATACACCATATTAAAAAACTCTAAGAACATGTTTTGAAATATTCTCATGAGATACAGATTTCTAAACTGTATAATTAAAGGAAGTAAATGCTTACTTCTGGTGAATCACTCCGCCTGGCAGTGAATTTGCCCGAGGTTTAGCAGGTGTTGAAGTTGGGACAGTTATCACTGGAGTAGTGGAAGTAGAGGGACACAGAAGGATTGAAGTCACAGTTGGGAATGTTTTTTCTTGATCCACGGAGGGTGGGAAACTCACCAAAGGCTGTTGAGCAACACTTGCTGTTAAAGTACAGCCTTGTGAAGCACCATGCTGACTGTGAAGAAATGCAGCGAGGTTAGCTTTTACTGCTGCAGACGTTGAAGTTGGTGAAACGGCATTGGTAACATTTGAAATTCCTAAAGACAAAAAGTTTTAAGGCATTAAACTTTCAATGTTTGTTCTAGGAGAAAATAAAAAACATCGCAGCTAGGTTTATTTTCTTCACTGCAAAATGTTGATTTCCATTTTACTGTTACTACTGATCTGTTGAACAATCTGATAACTTCTTCCTAATCTAATTCTAAGTCAAATAAACTGTTTGAATATCTAAACTACCATTTTTTATTTGTGTGTAACAAAATTAATAGTTGACTTATACTTGATGATGCATGATAACTAAATATAATATTGGTGTTATTGAATTATTTAACTAAAATAGTAAAAATCTGGCATTTAAATACGTGCAGTGTAAAATTTAAGTTTAGTATGAGAAGGATTGTCTACTGCTTTTATCTTCTTTCATGATGATAGAAACACATGTAGCTTCAATAAGTCTTGATACAAGATGATCAAAAACCCTATAACCCGAGCACTTTTGTATATATATATCTGTTTTCCTGTAACATCTTTATCATCAAGTTTGTTTCAGTGCAGTTTAATGTTTTACTTTCTTGCAAGTTATATATCTTTTGGGAATAGCAACACATTTTCTGAAATTTTTTTAATTACGTAATACTCATTGGAGTGTAGTGCACATAAGTATGAATGATTAATTGATTAAATAACTCCAGAAGAGCTTTTATTTGATCAAAGTTTTGGTTTTACACCTTCATCAGGAACTCTCTATCACTCAAATTAAGAACTGTTGTATTTGAAAAATGAAACCATACACTAGATTATGTCATGCATGAGATCACTTCAGTTAATACAGAGCTTGTGGTACATAGGTAAGCAATATAATATAAGCATTATTGTTAAACACAAGAGGAGGAAGGTCTATAAGGAAAAGTTAAATAAAATTAAGCAAATTTAGAGAGCATATTGCTAAAGTTATTATCTACAATTTAACTTTTGTTGTTGATATCCTGAGCCAGATATTTATTAAATATTTGATTAAGTATAAGAGAGGGGCCATTATATTTTTATATAAGAAGTGACTTTTCATATAATTTTCTAATTTATGCAATTGTTGGCTCCAATAAGAATTTTAATTGTTACTAGTTTATCCGTCACTTGTGTACAATAATTTAAGATATAGTGTTCAACTAATGCATTTTTTACCACCCCCTGTTTTTTTAACTTTACAAATGTGTTAATTAATATGTTCATGGAATGGTCTCCCATATTTTCAAATGTAGATGGCCTTACATTCTATGCATTCTAGTTGATATAAGATATTATTCGTTAAGCATTGTCTTATTGAAGTTAAGGAGTTGTAATGTTTGTTGGGTATGAAATGTAGGTCTAGAAAGTGTTTTAAAGTCATACCCCTTTTTTTTCACAGCCTTACATAACTGCTCTGTCAGCTCATTTCCAAAATACAGTATTACCCACATAGCTAGAGAATCCTTATAACCCATGTTTCTGTTTTTCTTTTTATTTATTGAGTGTATTTTGGCACTGCATCTTTTATTATTATTCTTCCAACTGTGAGAATGTGGGTTATGTATGTACCGGGGTAGGAATCTTGAAGAACTCGTTTAAACTCAGTCATTTTTCTGAGTACATTCTACATATCCTAACTAGTTTTAATTTTGACTTTAGCTAGCTAAACCTGATTCTTTAACTTCCATAGAGAGAGAATATACCTTTAAAACTTAAGCATTCCTACCAAGTTTGCTTGTGATATTAAAAAAAAAAAAAAAAAAAACAAATAAAAGAAAATAAATTTCAAAAATTTCGGGAAAAAATTCAAATAGAATCAAATACATTACGTTTCATAAAACATGCTATATAAATGTAATATTCCAACATGTCATTTTCAGTGCAGCATTTAACATTAATCATAAACCAAACCATCAACAAACATTAATATCTTGACAGTGAATTTCAGTTTTAAAAATGTACACGACAAACCCATGCAAAAACATAACATATAACTGAGTTTGATGATTAACCCCTAAATCTATGACACTGATGTGGCATGTCTTATTATCATCATTTAATTATTCTTTGTTGTAGCCTAAAAACATGTGTTGTTTGTAAGAAGAATACTTATAATTTTTTATTGTTACTTATATCTATAATGAGTTCCTATTAGGTGTAGTCACATGATTGATGACTGGACTAAATCAAACCCTCTTTTATATGGTCTAGACTTTTTGAGCAATTCCCATCTCCCAGTATTGTTGATGTTTCTTAAATAAAAGAAAAAAATCATATATGTTTGGCAATATAGGTAAGCTGCTGCTTAATAGTTTTGTAACAGTGAATACATTAAATCCATGTATTCATGATTCATACTTCAAATAAGTCTGATGTTAGCATAAGCTTATAACTAAGTTACCTCTATTTAATGGCCATGAGAAACTTATAAATTTGTACAGTGCTTGAACTGATAGATTTTTTTCAACAAGTAATAAGTTTGTTATTCTCAACAGAACCAACTTCTTGAAACTTCGATACATAATGATATTACTGTTATCAAGCTCATTTTCAAAAATTTGGGGGCCCTGGTTCAAGCTGGAAATAATGGGGCCCCTTTTAACAACCACTTGTAGAAATTATGTCTGTATTTCTAGTACGTAACTGTGATTTCAGTTAAGGATTGTAAATGATGTAACATTATAATTATTTTCACTAACTTTGCAAATGTTTTTAGTTTTTGTTACTCATATATTGATACGACATACAGCTCAGGACCAATCTGTAACATACTGTGAGGGGCCTTCATAAAATAATCATTCACGGATTAACTTATAAATTGGATAATATTAAACATTTTTGGCTCATCAAGTAACAGGTGAGAAATAGGAAATTCTGGGGATGTTACACCCAGACAAAGCTAATGTCTTGGGGTCCCTGTCACAAATATTTCACTTACAGCCTCCATCAAATGGCTCTGACTATTAAAATAAGTTTTGTACCTTGTTGCTGTTGTTGTGACTGCTGTTGTTGAATTTTTTGTTGTAAGTGTTGTTGAAGTAACTGTCGTTGGTTTAACTTGGTTTCCGTTGCTGGAACACTGGGAAGAGGAGCTGTGGTGGTGAAAACTGGAACACTGTAGCTGATACTTTGGGAACTTGAGTGTGGGCTGAGAACTGCCAACTGGGTGTGTGGCTTCTGGGGGGAGGGCTGATTCTGCAAAAAGTTTTGCTGTTGCTGAAGTTGGAACTGGGACCTGATAGGTAAAAACAAACTTATATCACAAGACTGTTCAGTACATCGTATAATACCTTAAAACAGCAAACAAACTGAATTTAGCAATCCTAAAATAATAGTGCATCATGATAAGTAAAATATTAATGTTCCATCTATACTACTTAATTCTCTTCAAGTCAGCTTATAAATAACAAAATAGATGCAGTGAATTAATAGTACATAATCCTTAAGAAACATAGATAGTTTTAATAAACCTGAAACTATGATAAAATATTCATTATAAAACATTCTTATCAGGTGTAATGATGATGGCACACATGGTAGAGATAGTCTGATGGAGGTCCTATAAGGAAGGATTCAGGACAACAAACTAGGGGGTAGGAAGATGAAAGCACTGCCGGATATCTAAGAGATGGGGGGATTGAATGGTGAGGAGATAAAGAGGGTTGAGGAATGAACCTGCCCTTGTTCAGATTTCAATAATAAACAGCATAAATATACATCTGAAAAAAAGCTTTCCTAAATTAATAGTACTCCACTTTTATATCTTCTAGGATCAAGCTGAAGATGCCAGGTGGCTACAATACCATTTTTTTCACTTCTCTAATACGATAAAAGAATTGTATTAAGTTTAATCTTCTTTTTTTTTTTACTAATTATGTAGTCAACATTTTAAATACTACCTAAACGTTTGTCATCTACTATCTTATATTTTAGTTTAAATGCTTCTTACTGATGCTGGTAGTTAAGTCTCAGTTTTCCCCATAAAGTTTTCAAAGACCCAATAATTTAGTAATTTTTACAAAAGGCAGAACATTTTACAAAATCAGTTTTTATAATGCTTCTCCTTCCTTCTCTGATGAAATGTTACCAGTTTAACTGCAATCGTGTAAAGTTTTGAAGCCAAATCTATCAACTGATACACCACTTGTCACTGAGCATAACGATATCGAGGAATTTCACTTCTTATCATATAATTATTTAAAGTGCAAAGCCTTTTTCTAACCTCTGAAGTTCTAACTGCAGTTCTTCAATACGTTTACGTTGAAGTTTAACTATATCTTCTTTAGCTTCTCCTATTTCCATTGAATCTACTGTGACACTCATGTCAATATCCATTGGAACAACTGACGATGGACGAGATAAAGGTGGTTGCATTCCATTAGCAGTAGTTGTGGTATCCATAGTAGCAGCTGGAGACACGGGTTGAATATCACATTCAGTAGGATGGTGAAGAGTTGGGGGCAGTGTGTCCAGAAGGATACTTCCTACATTAGCTGGAGCACTGCTGCTTAAAGTTGAAGCAGCACTTGTAATAGCAGTAGTTGAAGAGATTGTGCCAGAATTTGATTTCAGGTCAGAATAAGGTTTAAGTCGTTCAATAAGCTGGGGTTTTGATCCCGACACAGGTAAGTTACGTTTTTTCAGCTCAGCTTTCAAGTCACTCACTGACAGAAATATAAAAACACCTCGAGTCAGAAAAAACACGATAAATTTTCATAACATAACATATATAATAGTAAACTAAACAAATTTATAAACTAACAAGAAAATAACTAAAAAACTGTATTTTTTTGTAGTAATTTTCCAATTTCAACTTACTGAATGACACATTATCACTTTTATGCTGAATTACAACCAGATTAAGTTTTTCCGAATTAACTTAATAATACTCTCTAATTTGAGCCTACTGGCCAAAAACACTGATATATAGATGAAGTTTCCTGTTTGTGAACTATTACAGCAAACAAACTTATAACTGTTACAATCTAGTACTGAAATTTAAAAAATAATTTAATGTATGGATTAATCAATTTAGATGTAACTTCATTGGTATTTTATTTCATAAGTAAATAATTGTTTGTTTGTTTGTTTTTTTGAATTTCTTGCAAAGCTACACGAGGGCTATATTCGCTAGCCATCCCTAATTTAGCAGTGTAAGACTAGAGGGAAGGCAGCTATTCATCACCCCCCACTGCCAACTCTTGGGCTACTCTTTTATCAACGAATAGTGGGATTGACTGTCACATTATAATGCCCCCATGGCTGAAAGGGTGAGCATGTTTGGTGTGACGGGGATTTGAACCCGTGACCTGCAGATTGCGAGTTGAGCTCCCTAACCACCTAGCCATGCCGGGCCAGGTGTTACGGGGATTCGAACCCGCGACCCGCAGATTGCGAGTCGAGCTCCCTAACCACCCGGCCGTGTCAGGCCAGGTGGGATAGGGATTCGAACCCGCGACCCGCAAATTGCGAGTCAAGCTCCCTGATCACCTGGCCATGCCGGGGCCCTAACCACCTGGCCATACCGGGCCAAGTAAATAATAAAAACACATTTTGTATTATATTTCTCATGTTTATGAAAACTTAATTTAATTTTTTTGTGGCATTATTTTTTTTTTTCTAAAACAAAATTTCTTTGCACAGAAAAGTGAAACAATTTACCTTTCATATCCTCTAGCTTGGAAAAACCTTGTTGTGATGTGTGTTGAAGCTGAGACTGGCTAGAAGAAGCTGGGAGTTGTGTTTGAGCTGGATTCCCACTAGGGGTTTGGTCCCCATTAGGTTTCTGTCAGATAAAGATTATAGCTGAGGGTATTGTATTATACTTAAACATATGAAATAATAAAAACTTAGTTAGTTATGGATCATTCAAAATAATTTCACTTAATCTTAGCTAACTACTTTAAAATTAGTTACTTTACACTAATGAATTAGATGAGGCTAATTACTTTAAAATTAAGTACTTTCTGAAGCAACTTTACACTAATGAATTAGATGAGGCTAATTGTTTCAACATTAATTGCTTGATGAGACAACTTTACACTAATGAATTAGATGAGGCTAATTGTTTCAACATTAATTGCTTGATGAGACAACTTTACACTAATGAATTAGATGAAGAGTTGTCTGCTTGAGGCCTGTCATCTCAGTACATAGTTCCTCAGCTCGAGACACTAGTATGAACTGGGGAGATAGGGTTTTATATCCTGGTCAAGACAGACTGTTTTTCACATGTTCCAAATTGTTACATGTTGATGTTTTAGCACCAACAAAAAAGATGAGTACAATAAGATACAATGAATGTGTGTTTATTGATTTCACATGAGGAAGGGACACGTAAGGAACTAGGTGTGGATTGGCCTGCCTTAGGCTCAGTAAATATAAAACTACTTTCAAAAGTAAGCCAAGGATACTACCAATCAGGGCAGATTATTTTCCATGTATTTCAGAATGTTACAGTATGCAAAAAAAAAACTGAATTTCATGACAAAAATTAAAATGTTGTTCTCGTAAGCACAACATCCTTTTTAAAAAAAAAAATTAATAAAAATAAAATGGTCTTTGATTCAAATCTCAGTTGCCAAAATTTTGGCCATTTAATTCAAACAAATCATTACAAAAATTGTGCATTGTTAGATCTATATTTCAATCTCCGGAATATACATTTTTGTATTTCATATTTATTAATATCAGATTTGGCTGATATTACAGGAATCGTGTACAGTAACTAAAAATAAACTTTTACTGTTACTAGAACCATAATCAGTATAACCCGAAGTTATTTAATCACAGAATGAGTAAGAAAGGTTTTTTTTATACCTGAGCAGAAGGTAAGATGATCTGGGGATACTTTTGCTGCCATTCCAGCTGCCACTGTAAAAAAAGTTGTTGTTGTTGAAGCAACAAATCATATGATGTCTCCACTGATGATGAGAGCATTGTGTGGTTTTTCTGAGCAGTGGAAGGACCCTGCATATAAATGCTAAATACTTTAAATATTTTTTCACAATAAGACTTATTTCTGATGTTAACTTTTTTTTGTTTTATTTAAAAATTGTTCAATAAGGTAAAAATACTTCTTTAGGTATTGTCATACAGTAGAAGTGTTTGACTGGAGTACTGGCATGAAAATTCTCCTTAATATCACTATTAAGTTTAGGGAGTCCGTGGTCGTGCTTGTACATTTATTCTTCAACTTAGTAAAAAAAAAAAAGGCTATATTTATCACTCAGAAAATATATATATTCTTAGATCACACTCTTTATGTTCAGGATATTAGTGATTTCTTTCAGCTTTCATATTAGATCAGTTAAAGTGTGCCATGTGAAATTGTAAAAAATGAATAAATAGCTAATGTAGATTTATTCAAACTAGGCAGAAATCCATACAATAAAAAAAACCCAGAAAGTTGTCTTTACCTTATATTCATGGAATTTAATGGTCCTTGTTTTTGGTTGAGATTTTGACTTAGACTTTTTCCTGTTTTTGTTGGTTATGCTGCTGCTACTGCCACTGTTACTACTATCCTTATTCTGAGCCTGAATGGAGGATTGACTAGATGTGATGGTCATTAAATTGGTTGACATTTGATTTGGTTGTGGACTTGCAGAAGATGCTGCTGCTTGCAAGGAGAGCGGAGATGCCACCAAACTTCCGGGTGATGAGACAGATGTAGTTTTGTTTGAACTTGGTGACTCCGGAGCTGGGGAAGTCTCACTTCTAGCCATTGATGGAAAACTGTCGACATTTTTAAAATTTATTATCATTAGTCAGCGGAGACTAAATATATAAACTTAAAAACTGAAAATGTAATACTTTTGAGTGTCTTTTATGGAAAATATTTTTATTTTTGGAATGGTTTATCTTTCTAAAAGAAGAAAAAGAAAAAAAGAGTTCTTTGTTGAGTAATAATAAATGTCATGTTGTGTCAGATAAGATGTTGTATGCCCTAAGGCTTGTTAATTTTTTAAATCACTAAACAAACCTTTTTACATACATTATATTCTACTTTGCTAAGTCAAGTGCTTATGACAGAACTCATAAGCTAATGTTCCACAGTTATTTATCATTTTATACACAGTGTATTGAATGAATTATTACACTTCAAACCTGCTTTGTGACTGGTCAGTTACATCTTGAGGAGGAGATAAGGCTCCATCACTGCTACTGTCTTCTTCGATCACAAAACGTGGAGGTGGATGTTTGGATGTTTCTCCTTCACATGTTTTCCTGAAAGTTATTTGTCCCTCTGGAAAGATGTTAAAAAAATGTAAGATATTACTAAAGTATACCAATTAATTACTTTTATCTGGACAGCGGCAAATGTTAACATATAAAAACAGTCTTTTATGGTAATTGATCAAGTATTCTTATAACCAACTTATATGGATCATATAACCAGAATACCTATGTTAGATGATTCCAATATAATCTCAAGAATTATATTTTACCTTTCACAGCTTGTGTCAGTCTTTCATCAGCCTGGAGTATGTTTCCTTTAATCAACTCAAGAGGGCCAGGTCGATTAGAAATGCGGTCATTAAGATTATCTGCAAGCCGGGCTTTCTTGAGTTGCCTCTGCTTCTCTTGCAGACTAGGATCAACTGTAGTATCTGTTGAATAAAGTAAATCATTACAGATAGCTTAGCTATAGCACTGAACAAACTTTGGTGAAACTCAAGTTTCATAAGTGTGGGAACAGAGAATGGTGTCTACAAGAACACACTCTACGACTCATCTAAACATGCATTTGGCATTAAATTGGCTGGGTCTTAGTGCAACTGGCAAGTAACTTATACTATGGAGAAAAATATACACTATTGCTAATGAAATATGTGGGGGGCAATCCTCCATTAATGGAAAAGTGTGGAGATGCATCATCTCATGTATCCATTGACAAGTTACATAAACAGTAACAAAAATAAGCACATGAAGTGAACAAGTATCTATTAATACTAATCATAAATTTTACATGAACACTCAAAAGCAGTGTTGTTTTGTATATGTAGAATGTTTCAATTAAACAAGCAAATCAGAAGCATCAAACAGATTTGTAAATACATTGTTTTTGTTTGTTTGTTTTTGAATTTTGCGCAAAGCTACACGAGGGCTATCTGCGATAGCCGTTCCTAATTTAGCAGTGTAAGACTAGAGGGAAGGCAACTAGTCATCACCACCCACCGCCAACTCCTGGGCTACTCTTTTACCAACGAATAGTGGGATTGACCGTCACATTATAATGCCCCCACGGCTGAAAGGGCGAGCATGTTTGGTGTGACAGGGATTCGAACCCGCGACCCTTAGATTGCGAGTCGAGTGCCTTAACCACCTGGCCATGCCGGGCCAACATTGTTTTTATTAAGAGTATTATAAGCACATTTACATATATCTTATCATTTAGTAAGTGTTATTAAGTGTTCACAATTTATTACTTTTAACTTCTAAATATCATTATGTGTTTAATATTTGTAGTTATACTTCATTTAATTGTCTATGAAAGATATAAAAACAAATAAATAGTGTTTTTTTGAAAGCAAGTGCCTTACGTTATATCTTTAGAATAGCTTTAAAAAAATGTGGTTCAATAAAAAGCTTATGAAATAAATTTACAAAGTATTTATGCATAAAAATCTTTAATATTCATACCTTCGAGAATATGTTGCTGAATTAGTTCTTGACGATTAGGGCGGCGTTGAATTTTATTTTTAAGAATGTCCCCCATCTACAAGGGTAGAGAAAGAGAGATGCTTAGTTTTATAGAAGAGTAAGTCTGAAAACAAGTAAAAACTAATTTTCAAATAATTACTAACTTAATAAGTCTTTTACACACCACAACCTGATTTTATTGTAAAACTGCAAAAGTAGTAATTTATCATTACTTTACAATAACTGTAAAATTGGTGTAATATATTGTTTTTTAAAATTATTCAAACATAAATATAGTGTGAAAGATAATTCAATGTGTCACTGAGACTGAGTAACAGAGAGACACATGTATGAAAAATACAGAAAAATATAAAAATAATGTTAAAATAAAATTAATTATCTGAGCTAAAATAATTTTCAGAATGACCTTTGCTCTCTCCAATTTTTGTCGTTGTTGGTGAAAAGATGGAGGGGTGTTCAATGCTGGAAAAGAAATACCAGTGAAATATTTTAAAATTTAAAAAGTTTAAATGTTTTATCCACTTTACAAAGAATATACAAATAGTTAGAAGTATCATAATAGCAAGTTCGAGTCAATCACGCACAGTTGCAAAATCATTCTACCTAACTGTGTTTATATACCATTGTATTATTTATTAAAGAAAAATTAAGAAACATAAAACAGGTAGAACAAAAAACAAACATAAATAAAGAGAGATGTAAAGTTACAGATGAAATAATAAAAAATGTGTTTGTTTCTTTCACAACTTTTCACACAGTTACACAAGGATTATCTGCACTAGCCATCCCTAATCTTGTCTGATCAAATAGTGGGATTGAATTTTCCATATCTATAAAAGTATATCCTTAGCCCCAAAGTGTAGTGTGTGTTTCTACAACAACAGGATCCAAACCATGAACCCTCAGGTTTACAGTCCACACATGTTAACCACTAGGTCACACTTGACCTATAATAAATAAAGTTAAAAATGGAGAAGCATGTTATTAGGCTGAAAAGCGCAGAAAAGCATGAAGGTATCTGAAGAAAACAAGTTGAATATATCTATACATGGGTCACTACAATTAATTATAAAAGAACATGTGTATTTACATGAATAGTGTATTGCTGTTAGTTTGTCTGTGTACTTGCTTGGTGGAAAAACTTGCTAACATGTACATATTAAACTACTAAAATCCTATGTTTTTCAAATATCAAAAGGCCAAACTTACGCGGCATGATTCCTTGATCTATGAGTTGAGATATCGGGCGACGTAGTAACAACTTCTTTTTCAGAGCTGAAACCATGAACTAAGATATTAATGATTAAACTGCAAGTAACGTTAATTTGGAGAAGCCTTTTTTAATCACAGCTAAAAGCACATATCACAAAGCTTTTCTGGCTTTTCAACTGACTAAACAGTTGGAAAGATTAGACTTGAAAATATTAACTTGAGTTGTAAAGGAAATTATTTCTTCTTTAGGTAAGTGCATAAATAAATCAAACACAAACAGGTATCTAACGTTCATATCAAAACAACTTCTGATGACTTTTTAGATATCTTCCTTTGCTAATCAATTTTTTAAGTTTTTAATAGTTCTTAATTTGAAATAATATTAGAAATCAGTAAAATTGGCATAAATGTATAAACAGTATATGAAGATTTTTGTAGGGATTTGAAAACAAAATCTTGATGCTTACATCCAAAATATTTTAACAGAAAATAATCTGATATTTTAACACACTGAAGATATTTGAATCAATAAAAACCTATGAGACATCTGGTGGGTGTTTACTGAAGCGTCCCTTAAATAAACAATGATTTAAAAAAAAAAAGCATTCAGGATTTTATAAGTTCAATAACATCAACATTTCTGAAATACTGACTTTGAAACCAAGAAAGACATCTATGGAACCATGGTTAAAATAGAAAGCAATGGGAGGAGGCCTTTAAAGAATCTGATAATAAGTGTTGTGACCTAAATCTGTATCACTGCAAAAACTTGTCTGAAACTAATTTATGACATTCCTTACACTATCAGTCTCAAAGGTGTTAAACAAACACATCTTTACCAAAAAATTATCTCTGTAAAATCATGGCAATGAACATTTCCTGGAAGTATTTTAAATCATTACTGTGGATGGCTTTGATGTTTCTGTATGGTGGGACTTTAAAATAATAAACACAACTGTCACTTTTCAGCGTTGTTTGCTGTAATGATTTTTTTGATGATTCAGTTCTAACTAAGAGTCACACTCAAATATGCTGGTTAATGAATTTTTCACTGTCACCTTTAAGCAAACATTAAATAATAATTTGATATATCTATAGTTTCAGCTTATTCTACAGATTCATGGTTAAATAAACCTCTTTGAAATTTCTATATATTTATCATATATATGCATGGAACGTGTAAAACAAGACTCACTGTTTAAATGAGTGAATTAAGAGATAAAATACCAATGCAAGATTTCTTTAATTTTGAAAAAAATTATGAGATTTGTATATAAATTCTTTTCCACATAGTCACAAAGTTATAAGTATAGATAAGTTTGAGTACTCAATACTTATTTTTTTACTGCTTACATTACCTTTGACATTTCCTGCAGTGTGGGATAGAAAAAAAAAAAGAAGAGAGATTTGGAACGTTTTCAATACTTGTTTTTCAACACAAACGCCTATCTTAATATGCTTTATGGTTACAGGTTATATCTTAAAACAAACAAATGCCTATCTTAATATGCGTTATGGTTACAGGTTATTTCTTAAAACAAACAAATGCCTATCTTAATATACCTTATGGTTACAGGTTATTTCTTAAAACAAACAAATGCCTATCTTAATAT